CTTTTACATTTTTACTTTAAAAACACAGGGTTAACTTTTTAAAATAGTAACAGTAAAGAGTTGCTTTTTGTCATGAGTTTTGCTGTTGTGTGCCTCCAAGATATTTTTGACTTATGGCAACCCTAAGGTGAACCCTATCATGGGGTTTTCTTGGCAAGGTTTGTTCAGAGGTGGTTTGCCATTGCCTTCCTCTGAAGCTGAGAGAGTGTGACTTGCCAAGGTCACCCAGTGGCTTTCATGGCTGAGTGGGGATTCGAACCCTGGTCTCCAGAGTCACAGTCCAACGCTCATTACTATTACACCACAGTGGGTCTCACCATAATGAATAATGGAAATAAATTACTTTTTAAAAGTAACTTTCTAACTTCTGACTAGAAGCACCCTTGCAGGCAACGCAAATTTTAGGCACTGGAGTCATAGATTTAAAACAGTCTGTCCCGGCCATTGCAAATTGAACCACATGAACGGAGTGTAAACTGCAATTTTTGCAAATGGGAAGGAAATATAGAAAAGAAAGTTACGATCCTAGATGGGATGGACTCAAATAGCTGCTTCTTCACGTCAGGAATTCACAGATGTTTTGAGAAACAATCCTTTGCTGTGGATGATAGACTTTTTGGACCAGTATGCTATCTCCAACCCAGTGTAGAAATTCAGAGAGCACCAAATCAAACAGTCAATCTAGGGGACTTACCGGAGGCTCTGGGTTATACTGAGCTGCCGCTTCGCTATTTATTATATGGGCAAAAAGGAGAGAGAGAAAAAGAAAATATTATTGAGGAAATGTTCTTTTCAAAACAGTCACCTTATCTTCCAAAGCTGGATGACCTATCACACTGCAGAATTGCAATCCTGCTCTTGTATCTTCACAACAACCCTGAGAGGTAGGTCAAGCTAAGAAAGAATGACCATCTTAAAGTAATCTGGTAAGCTCCATGGATGAGCAAGGATTGGGACCTGGGTCACCCAACACTTGTACTCTATCTATCCAAAAATGCAGTATGTTTCGGACTTAAATATAAAAATGCAAAGAATAAATCGGAGCGCGGAAAGTGACACATAGCAAACACTTCTAAAATATGTTCTCAAAATTTTAAAAAGGCAAGTTTCTAGCCCTCATCGCCACAGAGAAAAAGTTGAAAAAGTAGGAGAGAAGGCTCAGAACCAGGTCTTTTGAGGCATAGGTCAAAAACACACTGCAGAAATAATCCAGTTTGAGACTGCTTTAACTGCCCTGGGCCAATGCTAGGGAATTCTGGGAATTGTAGTTTTATGAAATATTTCACCTTGTTTGTCAGAGACCTCTGGTGCCGCAATGAACTACAATTCCCAGGCTTCCGTAGGACTGAGCCAGGACAATTAAAGCAGTCTCAAACTGGATTATTTCTGCAGTTTGTTTTGGACCATGGTTTTTCATCTCCTGTAACTTGCAGCAACTTGTCTTTGGCAGTGAGATTATTTGCATAAAGGATACTAGGAAAATGCCAGGTATGATTCAGCTGGCCAGAGAAAGGAAGAAGAGAGATATGCACACAAAGAGATTCAAAGAGATCCTTGTCTCCTGAATAGAGACAATGGCTCTTTATCTCATTGCAGGCATTAATCAGACAAGATTAATTAAATTATTCAACCACTTGCAAAGATTTCTGCATTATTGTCCAGCAGCTGGCAGCTTTGGTTAATGGAAACTATTAAGAAAATGGTGACTTGGAGATGTCTCAATCCACAGGGTCGCCATGAGTCGGGATCAACTCAAAGGCCATTAACAACAACAACAACCACAACCACAACCCCACCAAGCACACTCACCTGATGGCACTGATGACTCCTCCAAGGATGCCCATCGCTCCTCCGCCTCCGCCTCCGCCTCCTCCGCCACCGCCGCTTAAAAATCCTCCGATGACATTGCCAATGTTAATATTCCCACCTCCGCCGCCTCCTCCTCCAAGGAAGTTCTTGACCAGGAACATTTTCAGAAGTTTTAAAAGTTTAAATCAGCACAGCTGCCCTATAGGATAATGGAAAATAAAAGATTACCAAACTGCATTGTGTATTTTAACACATACTCTCCCCAAGATGCTGTGTAGGGCCTTTGCAGACTGCCAGAAATAATGCAGCTTGAGGCCACTTTAACTGTCCTGGTTCAGGGCTAAGGAACCATGGGAATTGTAGTTTATCGTCGCACAAGAGCTCTCTGACAGAGAAGGCTCAATGTCCCAGAATAAAATACAGTTCCCATGATTCCCTAGCACTGAGCCAGGGCAGTTAATGTGGAGTCAAGTTGCACTATTTCTATTTAAATGGCACTAAATTTTATATATCTCAGTATTTATATCCTCTACCCAAGGATCTCAGGGTGACACACTATAAAAACAAATTTTAAGAGCTGAAAAGAAGAGTCCTTTCAGTGATCTAAAAACATATTTGACCATTTGACCAGCAAAAATGAAAAGAGTTTAATGCCAGAATGCTCTTGTGGTTTGAGTGAGGGATTAGGACTCCATCTGCACTGCAGAAACAATCCAGTTTGACACCACTTTGACTGCCCTGGCTCAAGGCTATGGTATTCTGGGAAGTGTAGTTTTGTGAGACATTTAGCCTTCTCTATCAGAGAGCTCTGGTGCCACAACAAACTACAATTCCCAGGATTCCTTAACACTGAGCCAGGGCAGTTTCAAACTGGATTATTTCTGCAATAATTGTTTTGGACCAAAGTCAAATTGAAGGCAGATAGCAGCAGTCATCCAATTTCTGCAAATTGCTGGAAAAAAACAATATCTGATCAGTGCTAATAATAGGCCCAAGGGAACCAACCTGGGTTTAAAACCAGTTAGTGCAATTAAAAAACCACACACATCTGCAGATTTGGATGAAATAAATGGAGCCCTAAAGGCTGTAATGAAAAGCCATGTATGTCTTCATTGACTATGGTTCCAGATCTGCTTCCGTTCCAAATGTTCACTTTAATTATTTGTTATTTGGCTGCTTCCAAGTTGCTGATCCTGCTTCTCTTTCCAGCAGAAACTTTTAAAATGGTCAACACTTTAAAAATAGGCAAGGCATCCAGCGGTCAGTTATTAGCAACTGCAAATGGGAAAATACACCCTAAAGGCACCAGATCCCATTTGATCTTGGAAGCGAAGCAGGGCCAGTCCAGGTTAGTCTTTGGAGGGGAGACTGCCAATTAGTACTGCTATATTTCAGAGCAAGGAACTGGCAAAACCACCTCTGAGGATCCCTGGCCTAAGAAAACCCTATAAAATCCACAGGGTTGCCATACACATAGCCCTAAAAATACCCTAAAGGCACCAGATGCCTTTTGATCTTGGAAGCTAAGCAGAGTCAAGCCTGGTCGTTACTTGGATGGAAGACCTCCAAGGAATATCAGGTGCTGTAGGGTATATTTTCGGAGAGCCAGCATGGTGTAGTTTGTTTGAGTGTTGGACTACGGCTCTGGAGAGACCAGGGTTCGATTCCCAGCTCAGTCATGAAACCCACTGGGTGACCTTGGGCTAGTCACACTCTCTCAGCCTCAGGGGAAAGGCAGCGGCAAGCCTCCTTTGAGCAAATCTTGCCAAGAAAACCCCATGATTATGGGTTTTTAAGGTTGCCATAATGATTTGAAGTCCCAAACACACACACACACACAAAGGATCTGTTTGCAAGCCGAGGCTCAACGAAGGTGGATCTCTCACCCTCCTGGAATTTCAAAGAGTCTCAAGTGCAAAATCCGAGCATTGCATGCCGAGGCTACAAGGAAACGCTCCGGCGTAACAACGAACCTCTCTCGCACAAAGACACACAACGCAATGTTTGGACAAAGTTTGCACGGATCTTTACTTTTTAGAGCACACCCATCCAGAGGCAAACAAGGCAATGGAAAAGGTGGTTCAGTTGGCTGGGAAAAATAAAAATATTAAGACAGGCTTACTGAGAAAAATATTCAATTGAATTAGGTTGGTTTTGAAGCCAAAAGAGGAATTTGTTGTTGTTGTTGTTGTTGTTGTGTGCCTTCAAAAATAACAT